TATATATATATAAGCTTTATACATTCTTTTCTTGCTGTACATTTAAGTCTCATGCTTTGTTTGAAACTTATCAGCATTTATCCTCAAACAAAAAAAACAAAAACAAACAAAACTCAGCACACAGTATTCAGGATAATGCTGCATAGGTTCAACTTTGGAATCAAACATTGTTTCTTTATAAACCAACAGAGAGTAACTGTCTGATGTGGGAGAAGGTGAAAAGAAAAACAAGGTGTCTAAAAATACACACCGATCATCTGGGATGCTTTGCTGTTTGGATACATTTTCATGTAATTTATTGAGGATGCAACACAGTCGATCTGAGGCCTTTTGATAAAAACAATGTGAAGATTTTAGCAGCTTGTATCACTGTTTCCTTTTTGTAAAAAGCTGCAGGAGTAAACAGTTGTTTTACAGCTGAAAGGTTGAACAAAAATGCTGCATAAACTGAGGATAGTGAAAGCACAAAAGTGACACGAGGAGAAACTGATACTTCACCTCAAAGAAAACAAAACAATAAATAACACAAGGTAAAAAAAACTCACAACTGTTCCTTCTTACAGAGGAATGACATCACCAGCCTTAGAAAATAATTCTGTTTAACAAAAGTATTAAAGGAAGTTACAGGCCTAGCATACCTCCCACTGCCTTTCATACCAGAGTTTATAAGGAAGATGAGTTCATGTCGAGCAAAGACAGAACTGAGACTGTTTCTGTCAAACCCTGGAAGAAACATTATGTTCCATCTTGTAAACCTTTAGAGTGTGTGTTGTGACGATTCTCAGCTACTACTACATCAAAATCTGTGCTGTGACAGCCATAGATGTGATTACTTTGACAGTTTCATTTAACTCTGTCCTGTAGTTTAGGAAATATTTTGCTAATAGACATGTGATCAGTTAGGGCTCAGAGGTGGTGTTAGGGATAACAATCAGCTACTAACACATCAAATTTTAGCTGAGTGTTTGTAAAACTGCCAGAGCTGCAGCTTTCCTAAGATTGTTTTGTTGTGTCGGCCATCTTGAAAAAAGTTGGCTCCGAAAGTTAATCAGCTTTATTCGTGGATACAAAGATGACTTTGGTAGTTTTTGTCAAAATTCATGGAGTGGCTCTTGAGATATTTTGATAACACTACAGACAAATGAACATACACACACTGACACGTGTAAAAACATCTTCACCTTCATTGGTGGGAGATAAAAATGGATGTACTGATTTACAGCAGACCCAGAAGTTGTGGAACATGAAACCCAACACTTGAGAGTAAAAGACCCGAGCTGGTTCAGCTACACGTCAGACCTTCAGAGGAACTTTCTGGAAGGCAGGTGCACAGAAACACACCTGGCTGATTCCACCGTCATCCTGTAACACAATCTGAATCACAACCTTCCACTGTTGGCTCTAAACAGACCTGATCTGAACTTAAAGGGATATTCCAGCCATTCTGCAGTGAAGCTCTGTGGAAAGGTGATCAGCAGTTTAAATGGCTACACGTTGTAGAAACTCTCTGAAATAATAATAAGTTTGAAACAAAGTTTCCTTCTGACAGCACTGATGAGCTAAGAGCTAGTCTGAGTGCAGCTAAGACCAAAGTCATTTGCTGTTTTATAATAGCTCTGATCTGCGGGGTGTTAGAGCACATGTTAAGGGAATATATCTCACCCACTGCCTTTTACACAAGTTTTTGACTAAAATCCTTATTATGCGAAGAGACAAGCTTGTTTTGTTCAAACCTTATAAACGTCATGCACAATCTCACGTGAAGCAAATGATTCTCAGCTACTACCACTCAAGTCTTACCTCCATATAAGTAAAACTGGCTGTTTCATAACAGTCTCTAACAGTCATCCTGTTTTGTGTTGATATCAAAATGTTAAAAACACTAACTTTTTACAAGTTTCATTCTAATCTTTACTGTAGTTCATGAGATATTTTGCTAACAGATCCTGTTGTTAATGGCAAAGTTATACAGAGAATGTGTTGTAAATGACTCTTAGCTTCAACCACATCAGATTTTAGCTCAAGATCTGTAAAAGCAGCTGAGTTGTAACCATGTTTGTGTTTGCTAGGGATGACAAGCTGTGCATGACTCAAAAAGACAATCAAATGTAAAATCTTACTTTCATTGAGTAGCACTCAAATATATTCACAGGTTCATGCGATATTTAACACAACAGACAGATGCACACCCAGACATTTAAGAAAAAATGTAACTGGCCTTTCACCTATGCCTGACAAACAGTTACAGCTTAGTTATTTACATAAAAATCTGCAAACACAAACAACAGCAGCAGATAGATGTATTAGATCTCGTGCAGCCTGGGTTACTACCTATAGGAATATTATATTTCAGTCAAAATAACCATGACATGAGAAAATGACAGCAACGGGAGGCTTAAATCATGTTTACAGCAGCAGTTTTAACGTTTTGATGACTGGAGTTGTTTTTTAATCCACTGAATGTAGGTCCTTTCATTGTGTTAGCTATTACTAGCTCATCAATAACGTTTGAGCAAACCCACATCTTTAAACATCTTCAGTCTTAAAATTTCATATTGATTCATGTTAATGCTTAAATCATTATCACTTTTACATTACATGTTTTTTGGGAAAAATGTTATGAAATTCCATAAGGAAATTTCCTGGTGTTGCAGGGTTAGAGCTCGCTGCTGCTATCTGAGCTTGTAAAGAACCCCAACATTCCATATAATGAACCTTGCTGTACACGAGTTCCAACGAGAAATTCCATATTATTTCAGGCTCGGTTAAAAAATTGATTCCCAGATACTCTCAGAGTATCAGACATGCTTTCTAAACAGCTACTTGTGGTAAAATGTTTAACTTAAAGTCAGGTAAGTTTAGGGATATATTTTGCTTTTGATTAATTTATGTTCACCACAAACTATCACTCAACAGGCAAAGAAAAAATGTTTTGTTAATTTACTTCTAAAATGTAACCGTGTAGCCTAAAGTCATCTGAAGTTTCATCAGAGAAATCTTTTGCTTATTTTAAAGGTTTAATCTCAGGAAACAGGGAGACCGGATGGAGACCTCCATAGACCACTTCTGGCTATCAGGCTGTACGTCGCACAGGTTTTAAGTCAAAACCTTCAGAACCAAGGCACTGATGGTCTAAACCTTTACTCTAAAGCTTGATGTGGTAGATGACCCTTTACTTGTCTGAGCATGGAAAAAAACTGAATCAGAGATAGAAATTGTAGACGTTAACGTTTTTCATGATCCATTTGTGTACACGCATCCAGGGCTGAAAAACACTGAAGCCAAATTCAACACTTTTCCAAACTGTGTAAGAACCCCTCATACAAAGCTGAACTTTAGAAGACTGGAGTTATTGGAAGATGGCAGTAACCCACTTTGGGCTTGGCTGCATTCAAGACTAGCCATTAGCTCATCAATCCTGTCAGAATTAAATTCTGTTTCTTCAAACTGAGGTTGTTCAAACAATTATCTACCACAAGTTAAACATTAATGTTGCCTAACTTTACTTTATACCCAATTTCAAAATGGCAGAAATATCCCTTTAATGGCAGATTATACATGTGTGAGTGTAAAACATGAATCTGTTTATTGAAATCTACCAAAGTGTTTCTGATGTGAAGGAAAGTACATGTCGGAACACAACCAGTGAAGACGCAGCCTAAAGACAGATTCCAATGTTCAGCCTTCCTAATATTTCATAAACAATTTAAAGATATCTCCTCTTTGGAGACAAATAAGTGTGGTAAAAGGACAACAGTTGAGTGCGAGAACACAGCAAAAATAAAAATCATTTTCAGCTCCAGCAGACTTGGCGAAAGGGGAAAAATGAAGTTTTCTTTAAATCAACAGATGTAGCATCCTCTTTAGTTTTAATAGTTAAACACAAGACTAAAGCTGCTAGTAATCGTTTGAACCCATGAGGGAAACAAGGAAAGAACACTACGAAGTCTTTAAAGAGTCAGTCATCACTTTGAGCATGCTCGCAAAGAACTACACCAAGCACACAAACATTCAGATTAAATCTATTTACAGCAGCTCGTGTGGAGTGGATCACCTGCATCAAACTAAAGAAAACTCCAATGAAATGATTTCAAAAAACTTTTCTGCGATCATAATCATCAAATTTCATCTAATGATTTCTTACAATACATGTGGGGATTTTTGCATTTTTCTTATTGGAAAAGAAATGACATGAGATGAGAAACAGCTGTCTGAGGGAGCACAGGAAGCAGAATTCTCTTACTGGACCTGGTTTTGGTCCATGGCCTTGTGTTCAGTGTATGGCTTCAGAAATGCTGTTTTATGCACACACGTTTAAGAACCTGCAGGGTTTATTTTCTTTGTTAAACAACCACACGCTCACTCTTCTGCAGCTCCTGATCCCACTCAAACAGAATCTCTTATAGTTCTTCATAATCACCATCGTCTCTATTGGTTGTTCCGGCTCCTCCGCCCAGAAAGTCCTCCAGTTCATCCACTTCTGTATTCTTGGGTCGAGATTTCTTTTTTTTCTCCTTCTCATCTCCCGCTGCAGCTTTGTCTTTTTCCTTTTTCTTGTGTTTTTGTTTCTTTTTGCTCTTTTCGTCCTCCTGCAAGCAAAGAACAATAGCAATATTTTAAAAATGGGCCAATGCAGCTACTGCCTGACACTCCAACATCCATAAACCTTATCTACAGCCCAAGACTTTACAAACATGGATATATTTGTTTGTACCCTTTCAAGAAAGAAAGAAAGAAAAATCCACAAAGACATTGGAATAATTAAAAACTAACACACAAAAAAAAAAATCATTAAAAATCAACTATTTCAGATCCGGCAAGCCCAGAACTTGATGGAGGATTATATACTCTATTTGGCCTGAAAACACCTTGGGGTTCTCCAGGAGGAGCAGAAGACTGTCACCGAAGGGAAGGAGATCCAGGAGTAACCTGACCATGTCTTTTAGTCAAAGCCACTGTCCCCAAACACACAATGTAGCTGTCTTACTGCTCGCTTATAAACCTTTTATTTAACTTTGCTCCCACCCATTTGTCACAAATCACTCCTGAAGCTTTTCTCCATCCACTCCGTCCTGCACCTCTTTAACACTCCCTGCTTTCCTGGACAGTCAGTCACCTTTGTGAGCTGGTTTTTAAGAGATCGTAAGAGACATTTTATGTTGGTGCAACCTTTTGTTCTGTGGTGTATCAGTGATGTAAGCTAAAAAAGGTAAAGCTAAGTTAATAGCCCTGCATAGCGAAACATATGAATAACAACAGTAGTTGTTGTTTACTCACCATAGTCAGAGGAGGGAAAAACTTTTTTTCTTGTAAACTATATGCAATATTTGCATCTGCTTAATGTTATATACCTCTGTCGGTAACGTAATGTTATGCATATAACTACTGTTCCCTGAAGGAAAGGAACGAGGTACAACATCATGTATGGGAACCACGCRCCTGCGTGTCCTGGCTGAAGCCACCTCTAATCACGCCTTTAGGCAGGTGACGTGATGACGACAGATGTCAGGCTCCGCCTGCACATATAAATAYTGTCGCATCACCGTCACTCCT